AGCAGGAATTTGGCACCGTCATGTTCCCTCTTGCCTTCCGAAACTTGATTCAAGGCATTTCATTACTCGGCGGTTGCAGGCAGTGGGAAATAATCACCTGCTGATGTAACTTGCTGAATCAGGGCCCAAGACTTGGAATGAACATCCTGTCGCCGTAATTCCTGCAGCACGGCAGTTCGTAACGACTTCCTAAACAAATTCAGTACTGCTGAGCAATACTTGCGTTAGGTGAACGATCCCTGAAGGATAACTGGATTCAACCAAAGTTACCCTTTGGTTCTCATTGACGTGATGGTTGTGATTCCAGACAAAGTTATTTTCAGTATTGCTCTGAAGGGTTTGCTTGCAGCACGCGTTTGCTGTAACACATATTACAGGGAAAGGCTCCGTTGCCCGTAAAGGTTGGGTCAAGCTATGCTCATCTCCAGTATTGAGGGAGAGGCCATCCCCTGTCAGCGGCAAGGTGTTTTTATAGGAAAGGGTGAGTCGTGGTGGCCTGGGAGCATGCCTTTGCTGCCAGGTTATAGAACCACTCAATTAATAAAGCTCAGAGTTGAAAAGTAAGCTTTGAGAAAGGAAGTGACCTTCCAGGTAGCACACAGCACTGATCCTTTTGGCGGGGTCTTCGCACAACAACTGGTTTTGCAGTCAGCCTGCAATTCACGGTGGAATTAAGACAAACCTGTTAGTTCTTTGAACTGTCCTGTGGGTGGCTATGGTGTAGTTGGAGCTTCGTTATTATCTGATTGGATCTGCTTCGTTTCCTCTTAGAAGTAGATTCTCGTTTGCCTGTAGGATTTCTCTTTTGTCTCCTGCCCTTCCTTCTCCCTCTTCCTTTGGTGAATTGCAGATCTTGGATTTTGGCTTGGCCAGACACGCTGATGCCGAAATGACCGGCTACGTGGTTACGCGCTGGTACAGAGCGCCAGAAGTCATTCTGAACTGGATGCATTACAACCAGACAGGTGAGCTGCCTTGCTTCAGCGGTGTGACTGTCTGGTGACGAGCCCGGGGATCCCGCTGTCACGCCTGGGTCAAATCTCACGTAACCCTCCAGATGTTTTTCCTCTTTATCATCAGCGTGCCCTGGAGCAGAGCGAGTCCCAGAGCTGTTGCACCACTCCCAAAGCTAGTGCCTGCGGAAAATGATGAAAGCAGAGATTTTAGCAGCATAGAAACAACAGGGGAGGGTGGAAAATGGGAATGAAATTTGAATCGGTGCCTGCTGCAAGCAACAGCTCCAGCAATCATTGCTTCCTTTTTACTGTCCTTTTTTTTTATTTTTTTTTTTCTCCTTTTTCTCTCTGAACAGTGGATATCTGGTCTATTGGCTGCATCATGGCAGAAATGCTGACTGGGAAAACGCTGTTTAAAGGAAAAGACTGTATCCTTTCAAGCTGAACCTTTTCCCTGGGAGGGGTGAATAATTCTTGGCGTGTGTGAAAGGGCTTTTATGAATGAGGCTGCTGAGAAACAGGTGTCAGTCTGGTTTACCAGGAGGTAATCACAGGGACCAGCGGGTCTTTTTGGTGAGGAGAACAGAGAGAAGATAGGAGGGGGCCAAGCCACCCTTAGAAATACATCTCTGTGCTGGCCACGTGCGTTCTACATCAGCAGTCTAACCTCGCGTGGCCACAGCTCCCTCCCCAAACCTAATGGCATGTGCCCTGGCAGAGCTGTGCCAGCAAAATTCTCCGTTGATGAAAACGGCATCCCGGGAGGAGAGCCTCGGAGCTCTTTTTGCCAGTCTAATGAGTCTCCGCTTGCGTGGCTCTGTTGGGTTTGTCTCATAACCTGCTCGTAGCTCCCGCGGGTCCTCGGGCTCTCCTGCAGCCAACCCGCAGGCTGAGCTGCTGGGTGGTGTCCAGGGCTCGCTCCTGGACGGGTGATCTTTAACGCAGCCTGCCAGACCTCGATCAACTGACTCAGATCCTGAAAGTAACGGGGCACCCAGGAGAAGACTTCGTGGAGAAGCTGGAGGACAAAGCGGTAAGAAGGTTCGCTGTGGATTCAGGTCTTGCTGGCAGAGCTGTGGTGCGGAGAGGTTATCTTGGCCGTGTCTTTGAGATGGGAGAGGTGTTGCTTCCACAGCAGAGGAGAGGAGCGACAGCAGTCTTTTCCCCTTGGCAAGGAAGATGTTTCTCTCTGCTAGTGGCACATCTGATGGATTTGGCGTTGCGTTGGGAAACTGGTGTGGATTGCAGGGACTCCCGGGCGAGCTGCCTGATGCCCCAGCAAACCACTGACCTCTTCTGTTCTCCAGTTTGGCCTTTAAAGCAGGAATATTTCTGTATCTCAATTGATAAAAACAGTTCCTTGCTAACTGATCACTGAAATGTGACATCTGGGATGATTTGCTCTTCGTTTGCCCTTGCTCATCTGAGCCGTGCGACCCGAGAGCTGTATTTCCCAGTCCCCTGGCACTTGTCCACAGGCAGTAAATGTCTGTGCTTTCCTTTCTCCTTCAGGCTAAGAGTTACATCAAGTCACTTCCTAAAATCCCCAAGAAGGATTTGTCTGTGCTTTTCCCCAAAGCCAACCCGCAGGGTAAGTCATCTCCAGCGTTTCTCACGAGTTCACAGCTGGAAAGGAGGCAGGCTGACCGCCACAGCTGCGATTTTCCTTCTCCTTCTCATAACTTCTTGCTACTTCCTCCCTTGCAGGTTGTGCCCCTGCCCCTCCCCGGGGCAAATATATATGAATTAAAAGCAAAATTATTCTTTATTGGCATTAGCATGTCCATGTTCTGCTGTTCTTGGCCATTTACTTGATTTTTGTATTTTTTATTTAAACAGCCTGTAACATAAAATAGTTAAGGAAGAGGTAAACTTCTGACTCTCGTATCAACAAGCCAGCAGAGAGCGGGTGCTGGGTATAACGGGATGTCTGGGTTGTGGAATGCAAATTAAGGGATTAGGACGGTTGCATATATCAGCTCCACTTGGTGTGAGTTGGGATGAATTTTGGCCGATACTGGTTTCCAGAGCTTGTTGCTTGTAGCCAGGTGATACTGTGATCAGTACCATTTAGATAAACAAACCAGCTCTTCTTTTTTCATTCTTATTTCCCAGCCCCGCATCATAGGTTTTGATAAGGTGCTAGGAGAGCTCCACAGTCCACGACAGTAATATTTTTTTTTTTTTTAAGAGTACAGCTTAGGTCATAACTGTATTTGAACACCTGGATCTATTGATACTTAACAGGCAGCTGAAATGTGCAATTTTCAGGGTAAAAATTGATCTCTTACAAGGAGCTCTTTTCCCAAGTAGATTAGAGGTGAGAGTGAGCAAAACTCTTCTAAAAGCTGAGAAGAAAAAAGCATTAAGCTGTTAAAACCAAGGGGGAACGAGGCCGACAGACTTGTCAGTATCTGAGTTTCCTGCCTTCCTGTTTACCAGGGATGTATAGATTTCTATATAGATTACTCATGTTAAGACTACTTTGAGTTGCAGGGGTCAGAGTGAAAGCAAATGATTAAAACTGAAAAATATCTTGAAGTTACTGGCTTGCTGTTTACGTTCTTGCAGCCCCATCCGCGCAGCAAGGCTTATTCAAGACTAATTTGTTGTTTCTGCACAATTTACACCTCCAGTCCTGTTAGTAGGAGCTCCCTGAGGCTGCTGTTAGGCAGATTTTGCATCCCTGCCGACGAGAGCTCCACGCTCCCTTGGCCAGGTTGAGGAATCTCTTTCATTTTCAGGTCTGGAGATGTAGTACTGGAAACACCGGTCCCATCACTTGCAGGGTTCATGCACAGGATGCCCATTCCCCGTCGCACCTTGCTTAGCCCTGTTCCTGTCTTCTCCCACAGCAGTGGACCTGCTTGACAAGATGCTGCAGCTGGATGTGGAAAAGCGCCTTACAGCGACGGAGGCGTTGGCTCACCCCTATTTTGACCAGTTCCGAGACGTCGAGGAGGAGACAGAAGCGCAACAGTCCTACGATGATTCTCTGGAACATGAAAAGCTTTCGATAGATGAGTGGAGAAGTAAGACGTTGATCTTCTTTAAGTTCCTGTCTAACGCGGGGCTTTCCCGCCTCTTTCCTGTGCACATGCTGAGTAAGGCTGCGATCGCCCGCTGGTGCCTCGATGATCGTGCACATCTCCCTTGCCTTGCTCTTGCTTTTATGCATTTGGCAAAGATCCCTCCACCTCTTCAGGCAGACTTTTTTTTTTTTGCCTCTCTGCTTTCTGTCTCTTCCTCCCAGCTTGTACCTGCCATACCCTCTCCACTGAGCACCTCCTCTCTGCACATATAACTGCCAAACTTTCCTTTCTCTCCTCTAAAATCACACATGCGAGTGATGTTCACGATGATTTTGTTCTGTTTTTCAAGAGCATATTTACAAGGAGATCTTGTCCTTCAGCCCCATTGCACGGAAGGACTCAAAGAAGCGAAGTGGGATGTCATTGTAGCGGCGGGCACGGCTGTAGCTGGGATTCACTTCTCCGGGATGACGGGTCGGATTTACTCCACGCTGCCGTGCTGGTGGCCGTCGTTTGGCCTGAGGGACTTCTCTGTGTGCAAACACAAGGATGGCACCGTGCTGTGGGCATTGGACTTTGTTCTGCTAAAGGGGGAAGCGCCCCAAACAGTTTTTGACACAAGATAAATGTATTCTCATTGAAACTCTAAGTGGCAGAGTATTACCTGGTGTTTCTTTTTTGGGTTCTTCTTTCCTATTTGTCCACTTGAGAGAGCAGGGGTTTCACTGCTCCCTTCTCATTAGTCTTTCCAAGCACAGGTTTTAGTACATTAATTATGGATAAGGTAAAGAAAAAGGTAAAATTGTCTGGGAAGTGAGTCCCAAGCAAAATAATCAGAAACAGTGAAATTCAGCGTAACAAGACTTTATCCAATCTAACTCTGAGCGTGTCCCCTTTTGAGTGCTCAAGCATCCAGCACAGCAAGGTTGCTGGGAGAGTGTTGGCTCCAGGACACCATGGGAATCCAGTCGATCACGGGATCTGTGTTCAGAGCAGCTCCAGACTCTTGCTATACGCACAACTCCCTGCTAGGGTGCTTCCCCTCCGCGCAGCCGCTGCCTCCTCTTTTTTTTTTTTTTTTTTTTTTTTCTTTTCCCCCTTTTTTTTTTTTTTTTTTTCTCCTCTGCTCATTTCATTCCCTGTTTTTTGATCAGTGCTGTCTCCTCCTTACTGCTAGCTGCAGACACATCCTGGGAGTTCAAGGCCACTCTCCCGTATGGATAGAGCCGGTGTCCCGAGGAGCTGGGTTACAGTCCAACAGTCCCACTGCCCCTTCTCCCTGCTCCGCTGCGCTCGCCTCCCGCTGAGCACCCTCTCCCCGAGTCGCCCTGCCCGCTCCAGGCTGCCTTCTCTCTCCGCAGGGCTGGCGTTCCCTTGCGCAGCCCTGCGATGTGCCCCTTTATATTCTCATGCCTTCTGCCCTGCGGGATCAGCTAAGCCAGGGATCTTCTGCTTCAGTTCTCTTTTAAGGGCGTTCCTCGGTGTGAAGACACATTTAAACTGAGCCTTTGGAAAACAGTCAATTGTCGGTCCTAAGGCTCAGCTCTCAAAGTAACTAGCAAAAAGTTTGTATATTGGTGGGGAAAAGCCATAAAAATGTTGCGTGAACAATCTAGCATTAGCAGAAAGAGGAACACAATAATTCAACTCGGAGAGCACAGAAAATAATTTTGGATATCTTAGTCTCTTGGTATCAGATTAACTCCTTCGGTCAGCATCATTATAAATTGCATCTAAGATAATCTTATGAAATAGAATATCTCACAAAAACCACTACAGGCTAGACAGCATCCTTGTGAACAAGAGCTTTACAGATTCCCTTTTCTGCGCTTTCATTGAGGTTTTGCATTTCTTAATTGTCTATGCAAATTTTAATTCATTAACTTATTTAGTGAATAATTCTTGGTAGACAGAAGAAATTGCCTTCTCCGAGATGCTCGGAGTCCCTGCGTGTGACGGGGAGGGACGGGACCGTGTGGTGCTGCTGGCACTCAGCTGGCGAGAGACACGTCCCGGCCAGCTGCACCCAGCCCTGCTCCAACACAGTTTCTTTAGTAGATGTGGAGTTCTAGATGAGATAAAAACCCACACAACAATCTCTTTTTTGCTCCTGAATGTGGACAAGAAAAATTGTAGGACGATGTGAGAAAACGCTTATTCAACTTGCCTGGATTTAATTGCTTTGGAAAGGTGTTCAGATAGCGTTGTCATAAGAAGAGTAGGATACGTAAAGAGAGGGAGGTTGTTTTAAGAACCCAGACCAACCAGCCAGGCATCTGGATCCTCCCTCCAGGGAAAGTTTGTTCCATCTTTTGGTTCTACAATATGCAAAGTCATTCAAATTTAGAAGTATGTTTTGATCTTTAAAGTAATTTGATGTACTGGAGGTATATCATCTGAAGCCTGGCATTTTTTGATGTGTAGGTGTCAGCGTGTCCCAGGCCACCACTCAAGTATAAGGGTGTTTGTAAATGTTATTACCATTAGAACAGAGGAGAGATGGAAAATAATTACAAGAACAAAATAAGCAAATGGGATCTGAAAGTGACTGCAGTGTTATTACAGCTGTGTCTGCAGCTTCTTACTTGGGGGAGTTTGGGTCTCATATGAGCATCTAAATACTCGTGCTTGGAGTAAACCAGGTGTAACTTATCCCCAGGGTGGGATACTTCAGGGTAGCAAATGTGGAAGAGCAGGGTTTTGGGTAGGAAGGGGATTCCAGGGTAGTTTCAAAGTCTGACACTGTTGTTATGTAAATTCCTGGCTCTTCCAAATTCATCTTGATGATCTTCTAAACAATCCCTCTCATGAGTCCTTTTGAAATACATCCCAGGTGCGCTTGCGTGGCTTATTCTAAAGCAAGGTAACTGCTGGATCTTTACCACTGGTATCTGAGGTGAAGTCTGGACAGTGGGTTTTTGATAATTTTTCCCTTCCTCCTCTATGCTTGGAAGTTCTCATTGTCCATGTGCTAAGCAGTGAATTGCCAGAGTTTCCTAAGTACAGTGGGGTCTTTGGGGGCAATTTATCCCCCCTCTGCAGTGCTACAGAATAGATTTTTTTTTTTTTTTTCTCTGACAGGCCTTTATTTATTCCTGCTCAAAATATGAATGAGTATGCTTCACTCCCACAAAAAAAAAAAAAAATCTTTAAATATGTATTTGGATACCCCCCAACCTGTCACATATTCCCTTAAACACCACTTTGGTTAATAATCACAGTCCTGGAAATGCTAATTGCTAACCCAAACTTTGTAGAGGTACTTAGGAAAAAAAAAAAAAAAGACCTAATGTTCTGCTGGTTATATGCTGAGCAGGATACAAGTGCACAGCCATCTATAAAGAGCGATTCTCCAATCGGGCATCTACCTGCAGCTTTGCTGACGGATGGAAATTGTTCGTTTTCTTGAATGGACTCTGATAAACCTCTGGGTAGGTTACATGTCCCTGCGTATTAATGTTAGCGCAGAGGAACAGCACGGAGCTGTGATTCACTCGGGTTCAGAACCTTCTGTGGTCTAAGAGCCTGCACAGGAGCTCGGACTTCGGTCCCTTTTGCAGGGGTGTTCTGGGGGGCTGTCAGGTGTAAGGCTCGCCAGCAGTAACATAGCTCTGTCAGGCGTAAAACGACGTAAAAAATACGTACATGAATGTAGATCTGGTTTGGACCTACAGCTTTTCCCTATGATTGCAGGTGCTTGGTGCCGATGAGCTGCCAGACTCTTAAGATCTCTTGCTAATGTTTTTTGCCTGCAGTTGACAGCAAAAGCTACAAATACCTCTAAATTTCCACAGTCACATCCCAAATCCTTTCCTGTGCGTTGGTGGCAACGCACAGATCCGCCGTGCAATCCAGAGGTGCGACTGCGGCTCATGCAAGCGTATCTGAACTCGAGCAAAGCTGCCGAGCTCGGTGTTAATAGCACAGTCCGTGAAGTAGCAAGGAGCTCCGCATAAGCTGGCCTGAATATTTACTCAGGATCTTCAGAAATTTTTTCAGCCTGTGCTGAATCCAGTGGATATGCAGATCCACGGCTTATTAATAGAGTCACTAGACAGTTCAACACTAGGCAGGTACGACTGTTAGTTGCGATAACACCTTTGGACTGCAGCATAAATATCTTCTTCGTTGGCATCTTCTTCCCTGTTACGGCCAGGTCCAGGTGGTCATTCCAGAGCCCATCCCAAGGGACATGTGCCAAGAGGCAAGTGTCTTCTCTGCGCAAAAGCTGCACGCAGTCCCCAGAAAAGTATTTGTTGAGAAGGTATACGAACGCAGTAATAAATGCAGCGTTTCTCACCTCTCTGCCCCTTCTGTAGCTGTCGAGTCATTTTGGTTTGGTTTAGCCAGGATGTACGCCTTCAGCACTCTAATTTTCTTCTTCACCTTAAGTGATAGCCGGTTTTGCTGTACAGACCTCAAATAAGGGAAAACTGCAACATTACCAGAATTTTCTGAGCTCTCATCTCCACTGGGAACCGGAGAAGGTGGCATTGCGTTTCTTGGCTGGCTGTTGCAGCTCATGCCGCGTGGCACTTGGGACAACCTCCCAGCGACTGTGGCTTTTTGATAGGACGGTGTTGCTGTTACCCTGCCGTAGCTGCACAGATGCTCCGCGCCGATGAGATGCGGTTTCTCTCGGCTCGTATCTCTCTGGGCCACGCGCAAGCCCTTTGCCTCACTCCGCTTTTAGGTTCGGGACAGCGAGTGCAGAACCCTTGCGACGTTCCCTCAATTCCCTTGAAAGTCCATGTTTTTGTTACAAAGCGCTCG